AGGCGTGAAAACTCACCAAGCTCCACACTTAAAAGGGTGCATTGTGTTGTATATAAAGTTGGTTTAAAACAGATTTAAAAAGATGAGGGATTTAGTCTGCGCTCTACCACTAACTAGCTTTGTGTATTTTTGTAAAAGGAGCTTCATCTCTGTAGTTCTTTCCCATGACAAAAATGAGGACAGCGGGTAGGTCATCTACCTCATTCAATTATTTTGAAATGCCTTTGAAAAGCATAAAGTCAAATACAGATGCTGGGTAGGTGCAAATTCCGTAAACTCCTCTTTAGGGAAGAGAGGCAAGAACTGTGATGACCAGGGTATGATTTCACTTTGTGGACCGCTGGCTGTGGCACTGCCTCCCCTGGCCATCAGTGGGATGAGGGGTTAGACTCCATCAGATGGAGGGGACTATAGGCTCCGAGACTCGGCCTTTCAGATGTGTTTCCTTTAGCCTCTGTAGTGTTAGCCCATCCAGCGGTAATTTAAAGTGAGATTGTTGCCATTGTTTACACCTGGAAATGTCACATACAATTTTAGGTTTCTAGCTTATCTTTAGAAACTAGCAGATCTGGGTCCCTATTCCCGTGACACTCATTACCTGGAGTTGTGTAGTGGCTCTTGCTTTACGTGAGCCATTGCTTTAGCTTCCCCCAGTCTCCCCCACTTTCTATAGCCTTTTTTTATTCTCTGTAGTAGCAATAAGAGGAAAGTTCATTTTTGAGTGCCTGCTGTATGTTAGGCACTATTCTAGGGCGTGAGGATGCAGAGGGGAACCAAAGAGACAAAATCTCTAATCTCATAGTGAGTGGTAAGTACCTAGCCACATCATTAAAAATTAGGGGGAGCTACCCTATGACCCAGCAATTGCACTGTTAGGTGTTTATCCAAAGGACACAAACATAGTGATTCAAAGGGGCACCTGCACCCCAGTGTTTAAGCAGCAATGTCCACAATAGCCACACTATGGGAAGAGCCCAGATGCCCGTCAACAGACGAATGGATGAAGAAGAGGTTACACACACACACACACACACACACACACACACACGAATATGACCCAGCCATCAAAAAGAATGAAATGCTGCCATTTGCAATGACATGGATGGAACTAGAGGGTATCATGCTAAGTGAGGTAAGTCAGTCAGAGAAAGACAAATGCCATATGATTTCACTCCTATGTGGAATTTAAGGACCAGAGGAACAGGGGAAGAGAGGGAAAAATAAGGTAAGAGGAAAACAGAGAGGGAAGCAAACCATAAGAGACTCTTAACTACAGGGAACAAACTAAGGGTCGCTGGAGGGAAGGGGTGGGTGGAGGATGGGGTCACTGGGTGATGGGCATTAAGGAGGGCACGTGATGTGATGAGCACTGGGTGTTATATGTAAGTGATGAATCTCTAAATTCTACCCCTGAAATTAATAATACATATGCTAATTAAGTTGAATTTAAAAACTTTTTTTTAAAAGCCAAAATAATAATAAAATTAGGCAGGAAAAAGACCCAAAGAGCTATATATTTTAGGGAAAATGGGAGAAAATATGTTTCTTTGTGGAAATAAAAGAATATTCCTACATATTTAAGAGGCTAACATGTGTCTGTGTCAAAATTATCACACCTATTTCACTTGCTTACCTCACATAATGAGATGAATCCTTTTTCCCTCTGTGATTCAAAAAATTCATGAATTTTCCCCCAAAATGGATTCCAGTGAAATCATAGGGAATATCTCAGCATTTCAAAAAAGAATGCAAGTAGGCCGAGGGACTGGCACAGATTCCAGTGGGCAGACTGGCACAGGCTCCACTGAATGTTCGCTTTTCTTACCTCTGTCCGAACTATCAGCTCAGCTTTGGATTTTTCCGTTTAATCAAGGTCTTGGGATGCAACTCAATCTGAAATAAGCATCTCTATTGACAGTCTTACAGCCTGAACTGTGTTTAGCTGCGGCCGGAGTCTTCCTACCCTGATGGGTACGATGGCCCTGGGCCTGTGCTAGGACAGTGCCTGGAGTGGTGCCGTCTCCCCTCTTCTCGCTAACCGAGCAGTTTACGTCTCTACGTGGCCAGCGACGCATCGATAGCGACCAGCATCTTTAGACTGACAAATCCTAGCAGGCTTTGAATTTGATCTCATGATCAAGGAGCTCTGACTTCTCACCTGCAGACAAACCGCTGGTGGGCGTAGAAGCTAAATAACGTGGTTCCCTCTGTGTTAGGCGAACAGCTTCATTGCTTTGCCTTTAGATCGGTGATGGTTCCAGGCTTTGAGAATCTTGGCTGGCTCGTCCCGGCCCTTTGTGCTTGCCTGGATCGTGCGGTAGGCAGGCAGGCATCTGCCACGTTTCTTCAGTTTAGGCTGGAAAGGTCATCTCGCTGCCTGGCAAAGAAAACTGCACTGCTCCCATCTGGTGGCAGTTATCTCAAATTGCTGCATCATCCACCTGCTTCTGAAACGGCTGCCCGGCCCTTGGGTGGTTCTGCGCATCACAAAACTGTACAAAGGGCCCTTCCCAGCTCGTGCTCTACAGCACTGTCAGATGTCTCCTCATTATCTCAAGGGGGTGTTACACGGGTTTTCTTTAAGACAAGTAAGTTGGAGAGAATATTTTTTGGACAATCAGCAGAGCGATAACATTCTAGGTTCTGCATAATTAGCCATGAGACTCCTAAGCCTCGCTCTGTTCGTCTGCTCATAAAGCAAAATGCTTGGATTTAATGCTCTCTAGGAGCACTACTGATACAAAGTCTATAGTTACATGATTTTTTTTAAAAAATTCAAATACCTATAAGACAAATACTCGGACCGTTTACGAGGTAATTACGGACACACACAGACATTTTATAATTCATATTAGCATTTCTAATTCTGACTGGTAATAAGGCACATCATGAATTTAATAACTTATGGGGGAAAGATTAAATACTATATTAAATATACATATTACAGGAAAAATTCCAATACTCTAAAAAGTCAAATGTAAAAAACTGTGCACCTTAAAATTGAGATTTTGTGGGCATGTGTGTCATAAGACCTCTACTTCTCAGTACATGGTAGAGTTTTAAACAGATTTTTAAAGTAAATTTCTAGAATTGAAATTGACAATTGATCAGTGTAAACGACTGCAAAGTATTACAAGAAAATCGGAAATGTTACTGAGACACAAATACTCAAGATGACCATGGAAATTAAAGATTTCATGGCAGATCTTAGTGTTTACCTGACTTGTGACCAAAAATCTGGTAAACATTATCAAAATGCACACTTGGAACATTTGAACCCATTAACATTTTTGTAAACACAGAATTATGTGTGGATTGTGTGAAAACATGCAAGAGTGCTCTAGGATTAAGGCTCTCTTTGGCTGCAAGCTGCAGAAACCTATATACAAGCGGACTTGAAGAATACACCTTGTGAAGATTCACCGGGAAATGACCATGGACCTCGGCAGACAGGTGTCAAAGAGCCGCTGGGCCTCAGAGGGGGTAGAGAGATTAAACAGGACGAAGTCTTAGGTCTCAGATCTAGAGTCCCCGCGTTTGCTCTGCATTGATTTTGCATGTGGCTGCTAGCCCCACACCACACCAGAGCCTCGGCTCCACTTCCCACGCTGGTGGCTCCCCTCTGTGTTCCTCTCCATCCAATTAGTGATCACCTCTGTGCAAAAAAGAGTCTTGATTTATATCTATCATCTACCTACCTACCTACCTACCTATTTATTACCCAGGGTCAATACACAGGGTAGTTCAAGCTAAATTATGGCGTAGGAGCAGACAGGTGGATGAAGTGCCCCGTCTAACTGCTGCCTATCCCACAGCCTTCAGGTTTGACAGCTTTGCTGCACCTTACCTCTTTATTAACCCCTGTTAGCGATGGCACTGAGCGCCTCATCCAGTGTTTGGGGAATGATATCGAAGTAAGGAGTTCTAAGAATCTGTGGACTGCTACGGTGTAACCAGTCTGCAGCATTTAAGAGTTTCTGCTAGTGTTCTGTAAATTTTTTTTAATGAATTTTGGAGTGTCTTTAAGAGAAGAGTTGGTGTGGACATGAAAACACCTGCCCAGGAATGGAGTCATGCCTTCCTGGTGTCTGCTGTGTTGAGGAGCATTGTCATACCTGTATTTTGTGTCTTCTCAACAGCCCATGAGGTAGGAAAGGCAGGAGGAGCCCTCAAGGTTGGTTGTTAGATCTGAGTTGTGGGGAGGTGGGTCGCTGAGGAAGGATGAGGAGGAACAGAAAGCTCCTTGAATTTGACAGCTATTATTATAGCAATTATTAAAATAATTTCCGGGGATCCCTGGGTGGCTCAGCGGTTTGGCGCCTGCCTTTGGCCCGGGGCGTGATCCTGGAGTCCCGGGATCGAGTCCCGCGTCGGGCTCCCTGCATGGAGCCTGCTCCTCCTCTGCCTGTGTCTCTGCCTCTCTCTCTCTCTCTTTCTCTCTCTCTCTCTCTCTCTCTGTCTATCATAAATAAGTAAATAAATCTTTAAAAAAATAAAATAATTTCCAAGCCTCTCTGGGTTAAGTGCTGGACTTATAAATATGTTTTTAAGTTGGTTGAATCTAATCTCTTTGAGCCTCGTAATTATCTTCAAGGGAAAAATAATACTCAGCCTCATAGGATTGTAGTAAGAATCAAATAAAAGCTCAAAGTGCCTAGGACCGTGGTTGGAATATAGTTATTTTTTCTTTCATCTATTTGTTCATCTCTTTATTTGTTCTTTATTTGTAGGTTCTTTGCAAGATAGTTACTGTTCTTCTTTCTTCCTGATACAGGTGTTCAGGAACGATTTTTCTGATTCTTGCCCCCCAGTCCCACAGTAACCTCTCTGAGTCCCTTGAAGCAAGGAGTGGCTTCCAGGCCAGGCCAGCCTTTGCATCTGGCTGATGATGGCATCAGTACCATTAACAGTGACGGCACAAAGCTACGGGCACCCTGGTTATCTCACTGAGTTTTTGAACACGACTCAAAAGAGCTTGTATGTGTGTGTTTCCCTCACAGGTGGATTTGCTATCGTGTTTCTGGTGAGGACAAGCAATGGAATGAAATGTGCCTTGAAACGCATGTTTGTCAACAATGAGCATGATCTCCAGGTGTGCAAGAGAGAAATCCAGATAATGGTAAGGCTGCCCCTCGGACTTGGGATTGCTTGTGTAAAATGTCCCCTCTCCTAAGATGTCGGGGGGCTTGGGGAGGCTTGTTCCTTCCCCGAGATGGCAGCGGAGCCTCAGCACAAGATGAGAATGAAGAGACCTGGGGTATAGCATGCTTCTCCCATCTCGGTCACCCTTAGCTGGAGGGCTGAGGAGGAAGGAGCACATTGGGAGGACTGACCAGCTTTTTGGGTCAGAGAAGTGTTTGTGCATTGGGAAGAGTTTATCTCATAACATCATTCCCAGAACTAACTATGGAGTTTGATCCAGGAACCCCATCTCTCCCTGTCTCTCTACTCTTGTCTACTACCAGTTGCCGGTCCTGGTGTTCATCCCTCTGGAGCTTCTCAGCGTTCTGTGAACATACCCTCCCATACCTTTATATTTTGCACGTGCAGTTCTTTTCTCCAGAAATGGTTTTCCCTTTTTTTTTTTTTTTTGAACTAGAAACCTCTTTCTCATATATACCCTCTGATTCCATTTATAAAAGTCCAAGAACAGGTGAAAGTGATCTGTGGTAACAGATCAGAAGTGGTCATCTGAGTGTGGGAAACTGACCAGAAAGAGGCATGCGGGACTTTCTGGGCCATAGAGATGTCCTATATCTTGTTTTGGGTAGTGGTTACACAGGGCTGCACAAGTGTTAGGACTCAACGAACACCTTAACATCTGTAGGTTTTATTATATGTTAATCATACCTCACGTCTTAAAGACTTCGTTTTCACAACTCAGATTCATACTGTGTTTAAAGAGTCCCTATCTGTTAGAGTAGATGCTGAAATATTTATGGGTGAAATAGCATGATGTCTTGAAGTAATGAGTAGATTTAGAAGAGAAACAAATTGGCAAAGGGTTACGATCGAAGCGGAGCGGTGGGTACGTGGGAGTTTGTTAGTCTCTGCTTTCAGTTCTGTTTGATATTATACATTAAGAAACTTAAAGTCTCTCTTTTTTTTTTTTTTGAGAGACAGAGAGCAAGTGTGAGCAGTGGGCAGAGCAGGGGGTGGGGGGTACACAGGAGAAAGAGAATCTTAAGCAGGCTCTACACCCAATGCTGATCTCATGATCCTGACTGAGATCATGACCTGAGCCAAAATCAAGAGACGGAGGCATTTTTTAAAAAAAAATTAAATCTTTAAAAAAAGTGAATAAATAAAAGGGGGATCCCTGGGTGGTTCAGTGGTTTAGCGCCTGCCTTCGTCCCGGGGCTTGATCCTGCGGGCCAGGGATCAAGTCCCACATTGGGCTCCCTGAATGGAGCCTGCTTCTCTGCCCTCTCTGTGCCTCTCATGAATAAATAAATAAAATCTTTAAAAAACTTATTTACTTGAGAGAGAGAAAGAGAGCGAGCGTGAGAGAGAGCATAAGTGGGGGTAGGGGTAGAGGAAGAAGCAGGCTCCTCGCTGAGCAGGGAGCCCAACTCGGGACTTGAACCCAGGACTCTGGGATCATGACCTAAGCTGAAGGCAGATGCTTAACCAGGTGAACCTCCCACGCTTCCAAGAGTCAGAGGCTTAACTGACTGAGCCACTCAGGCACCCCGCCCCCCGTAAATAGTCTTTTATCCCTTTGGGTTTCCACAGTACTTTGGTTTATGCCAATCATATTGCTTATCTTGTTATCTTATAAGTAATTCTGCTGCCAGAAGGTGTTTTAAAATCGAAAACTTTATATTCCAGCAGACTTCTTGACATAAAGTAAATACAGTCGATCCTTGAACAACACGGGGGGGGGGCTGTTGACCCCTGAACAGTCGAAAATCCTCATATTACTTTTGGTGTCCCCCGAACTTAACTGCTAGTAGCCCGCCCTTGACCGCGAGTCCTGCTGATAACGGAAACAGTCAACGCATATTTTGTGTGTGTGTTCTGTGCTGTATTCCTACGATAGAGGAAGCTAGAGGAAAGAAGACGTTAAGAAAAATCTTGAGGAAGGGGTTGCCTGCACAGCTTGGTGGGTTAAGCATCCAACTCTCCATCTCAGCTTAGGTCTTGACTCAGGGTCGTGAATTCAAGTCCCGCGTGGAGCCTACTTAAAGAGAGACGCCTGGGCAGCTCCGTGGTTGAGGGTCCGCCTCTGGCTCAGGGCATGACCCCGGGGTCCCGGGATCGAGTCCCACATCGGGCTCCCTGCATGGAGCCTGCTTCTCCCTCTGCTGCGTCTCTGCCTCTCTCTGGGTCCCTCATGAATAGATAAATCTTTGAAAGAAAAGAAAAAGAAAAGAAAGAAAAGAAAAGAAAAAAGAAAAGAAAAGAAAGAGAAAAAATACAGTGCAGTATATTTACAGTAGTGTACTGTATTTATGGAAAAAATATGCGTCTGGATTCACGCAGTTCAAACGCCTGTTGTTCAGGGAGCAGCTGTGTTTGATGGGCTTTGGATGAGACGAGGGTATGACTCCTGGTAACATCAGATGCGAATATTCACCTGGAGGGAGGATTCCTTGGTGCCCCGGGTTTTGATGCTTTTGTAAAGAACAAAAAGAGGTCCGCGACATGGGGGAAGGCTCTGCTCACCCGGCCGCCCGGGGGGTCGCCCTCGGGAGCTGCTGACCTTGGGTGCTAGGGAAGAGCTGGGGCTCCAGAGAGCCTGGTCCTGCTCCAGGTGCCAGAAGGCGGGGACCGACGGAGGACACCCTGCTTACTGGGGGGAGTAAGCGTTGCCGTCGTTGCAGAGCCAAGTTCCCCACGGCCCACTTGCCCCGGGCCCCCGGGGGCGCCCTCCCCGCCTCGCCCACCGCCCCCCGGGATCCGGCTGCCTCTCTGCCCCGGCCCCTCGCTCGTCCTCTGGCTGCGAAGAGGCCTCAGAGACCCGACGGCGCAGGCTGCGCTGGGCTGGTGGGGCCGAGGCCGGGGCTCAGGCCCACGGGCTGGCACCGGGCACACCCGGCCACGCGCCTTCCCCGTGCAAGGTTCTGTTTTGTTGTGTCTTGAGCTTCTATTTTTTCAGGACTTAAGTGCACGGTTGGGCCAACGAAGCGGTTCCCCGCACGTGGGCAGCTCCCCGAGGGCCGCTCCTGCGGGCGCCTGTGGTCGGTTCATTGGAGACGGTTTGGAGACGTCCTGAGTACTGCTCTAGGGCTGCTTCCTGATTGTTCCCCGCTCTTGAGGCCTGGTGGGGCAGGGAGAGCAAACACTTAGCCGCCTCTCCTCGGCTGCACGCTGCTCCCCACATACCTGCACACTCGCGCACCTCCCACCTGCTCCCGCAGCGCGGGGGGGCGCTGAGCTGGTCACAGTCGCCGTCTGTACGGGTGTGAGGACGCCGGTCTAGGAGACCTCCTGCTGCGCCAGCGTGACTGTTCCTTTTCCATATGACTCTGTGTTCACTGGAATTAATCATCTTCTTCGATTTTTTGGTCTGTCTTTTCTGTATACTTTCCAGCAATTTGACCCTGAACTCTCCGTAGGCTGTACAAGTGATTCTTTTTTTAAAAATATTTTTGAATACATTTACATATTCTGTCCATTTTATCTTCTTGAAGAAATCTCAGTCTTCTAACTCAGGAAATCTGGATTCCTTGCTCTCTAGGCCTGATTTACACTCTTACCTTGGAATTTCTTAGTCATTCCCTTTGCCCTGCTTTTTGTCTTATGTTAGAGTTCCTGACTCATTTTTTTGTTTGTTTGTTTGTTTTACTTCCTCATTTTGGTGGAGCTTATCCTGTGGTAGCTTCCTTAGGCAGGATTTTGAGAACTCGCAGACCTGGAACTGTCTTTATTTCATTGTTGTGCGTGGGAAGTCCGAAGTCATTCTGATATGGGGCCTTTGGGTGGGACCCATTTTTTTTTCCTCCCTAGAAATGTATCAGTCTCCCCTTTGTTGACAACATTCTGAAATATCTTGATGATGCACCTTGCTGGGTGCATTTATTATTTCTTAATAAGTGGTGTTCCCATGTAAACTAGAGATCCTAGTCTTGCACTGTGAAGAATTTTAGCTTGTCTCATTTGGTGATTTCCTTTTCTGTCTTCCTTTTGTCTGAAATTGCTGTTATTTTGGATACTGGTTCTCCTGAATTGATTTATTAATTTTCTTGTTTTCTCCCTTTCATTTTTCATTCCTTTTGGGTCCCCCCCCACACACACATTCCAGCAAATTTCCTTAGCTTTACTTTCCAACCACCCTGCTGAATTTTTTATTTGTCAGCCTTTTTAATTTCTAAGGCCTTTCTGTTTGGTTCGGTTTGGTTTTTAATTTTGATGAAGTTAGTTTATCTGGGTTTTTTTGTTTTGTTTTGTTTTTCTTTTTCTGGGACCTGTGTTTGGTGTCATTTCTGAGAACCCTGCCTACCTCTTGATTCTGGAGATTCTGAAGATTTCTTTTTTTCCTAAAAGTTTATACTTTTACATTTTACATTTAAGTCTGTGATCCATTTTGAGTTAATTTTTATATAAGGTATGAGACTTATATTTAGGTCTTTTTTTTTTTTTTTTTTTTTTGCTAAGGCTATCCGTTTGCTCCAGCACCCTTTGTTAAAAAGGCTATCTTTCTTCCATTGAATATGTTTGTCAGAAATCAGTTGGGCATATTTGTGAGGGTCCATCTCCAGACCCTCCTCTGTTCTATTCCTGTTAATCCATATGTGTATCCCTCTACCAACACCACACAGCCTTGATTACTGTAGCTTTATAATAAGTCTGGAGATCAGACTGATTCCTCCTTTTTTTTTTTTTCCCTAAAGTTGTTTTTTACTTTAGTGTTTTTTTTTTGTCTTTTCACATAAATTTTAGAATAATGTTTACAGAATGCCTTACCAGTATTTTGATAAGAATTCCATTAAACCTGTATATGAATTTGTAGAGAATTAACATCTTTCTGTTTAGTTTTCCAATGAATGAACATGGTGCATCTCTCCATTTATTTGTAAGTTTGATTTTTTTCATTAACATTACACATTCTTAGATTTAGACATAGGTTTTTGGTTTTGTTTTCAGTGGTTATAAATGGTATTGGATTTTTAATTT